GAACTCCATTTTTGTGTCGGGGGTTGAGTTTAGGATCAAGTTGTGAATTGAGCTTAGGTTAGTTTTATGGTCAGGTACCTGTGAGGTTAGCCTTAGGGTTTGTGGTCAGGGTTAGGCTGTAGAAATTACTGGAAATGAATGGAAGTCAATGAATGGTCCTAATAAGGATAAAAATACAAACCTGTGCGTGTGTGCGTGTGCATAATTAGACATTTTTATGTGACAAATTTTTGCAAATATTGTGCCACCTAGTGGTAGTTTAAAAATGCTTTATTCTGTTTGAGAAAATCTCCCACTCAAACCATTCATCCTAGCAGCTTCACAACTGCAGTGTAATGTTTAGAGMCTTTTAAAAACYAAGAAAATATTCATTACAAGCAGACAACAAAGAGTGTGGCCAGGTCAGCTTGGCAACCTTAAACGTGTCCCCAAAAGTGCATAATTTCTATTTTYGAAATGTTCTAGAGGGCTGAGATTTATGAAACTTGGCACATATTTTGAACTTGTGAAAATATAGGGAGGCACAAAKATCCAGATATGTTCAATGMAAGTTCTCTCTCRAGTGYCATCTTGATTGCAGCTCCTCTGACTACTTTAACATACACCTATAAAGTTTGGTTCCCCCCTGCAACAGTTCATGCCCTACAAAAAGTCGCTTGATACCACATTGTGAAACCTACAGAAATTTGGCCATTTTGAACAAAAAGGCTATTTTCACTTGTCACAYCCAATGCTATTTTGTGCTGACGTGTTTTTTTCTTCAAAGAAGAGATTTTCTCCWGGAAACCTCATTTTCAAACAATATACTGTATTGCTTTTAATAATGCCCCAATAGATAAAACAGAAAAGTAAATGGGTGTCAATTTTTTTAAGCTGCACRTGCACTTTAAGATAGAACCACACCACCATTTTTTTTTAACAAAGAAATGCATTTATCACAAAAGTTATTAATGGATAAAAAGAGAATAGAAAAAAGCCAGTCATATTTACTTACCACTTTTGTAGCGCTCCCTCTGCTCAATCTTGAGGGTAAGGTAGAGGGTGCGGATTGGGAAGTATACAGCCTGAGGGTACACTCGTCCCACCTAGCAGATAAAAGAGGGTCATAGATCAAATTTCAAAGACTCCCTTAAGGACCACAAAAAAAGAGAGAAAGAGGATGCAAACAAAGGTGGAGATGGAACTACTGTGGATAGATGGAAGCATGAAGAGATACTGTATTGCATATGCAGTATGTGTGTCAACGAAAGAGAGATCATACAGATACAGCCCTCTGCGAGCACAGGGACTATTTGAAGGGGAATCAGGGGAGTTAGAGAAGTTAAAAGCATGTCTTGGTTGAATAACAAAACTGAATGCGATGGATGATGAAACTGCCTTCGAGACTTCAAGAAAAGTCCCTGACAGAACTTGAAAGCTTAATGGTTGAAGAAGGGACAGAGGAGGTTTAAATTTTTTAAAACACATCACCTCAAAGTTGGTGGAGTAGGATTTCTTTGATAAGTGATGCATCAGATAGATTCAGAGTCAAACTTTGGTGTAYGGTGCATACTACATTTTCCTGAGGTCAAAGTTTAATAAGAAGTCACACTATAAGCCACGAAGACCACGGTTCAGCTTCCAAACAAGAAAATTTAAATAAATGATTTTAAAAAAAACATAATTTAAATCTATCCTAAAAGTGGATTAAAGGGTGAAGACATGAAAACTACCAAAAGCAGACAAATAACTACTATGTGAAAAATCACACTAACTCAAAAAGAAGCTAAACTTCAAAACGGTTTTTATACATWTATTTTAGATTTTGGCAAAAGGCTGAACCACCATTTTTCCTTGGGTTTCAGCTCATAATTTATTTTACAAGCTGCTATTATGTGGCTACTCGTTTTCTACTACACTCTTTATATAACTGCAGGGCAGGAAGGGATTCTGTCTAAATAACAAAACTAATTGAGCTAAATGATGAAAGGTGGGTCGAGGATGGATGCTGTCAGACAAGGCTCCAAGGGGAAAAAATAAAAAAAAGTGTAGTTTTTTTTTTTTAGTTTAGCTTAAGGCTAAATAAAATTTGGAACCTCTGTGTTTACTCTGGCTAAATCAACATGCCTCAAACAGACCAAATCAAGACTACACAAAACCTAGCTTAGGCTGCCAATAGACTGTTCACAAACACATTGATTTTGTTCTGAGAGAAGAACARCTAACCTCTTTAGCAATGGATGGTCAGGCAACATCTTTTCTGTCAACGTCTTTATAATGACWAGATTCATAATGTATGTATGTCTGGATATTTCTCAACCTCAGCCATTAATCTTTCCTCCACTCTTAAAAAGAAATGGCACTACAGCTAAACAAGAAAAGTCAAATATGCATCTGTGCTCRGCAMGTTGGCCTTCCGGACGACATTTATTGATCTAAAATYGTTTTAAAAAGTAATGAATYGATAATGTCGATACTATGGAATAACTTATCAGATTTAAGCACGGCACCTTACATTCGTTTTTATGTACTTTTAATGATAGTCACGTTAAATACAAACCAGTTTCTTTGCTGCCACAGTTTTCAAAAATTTTAGAGAAATTATTTAACAACAGACTGGAATCATTTTTGGGAAAATATAAATTGAGTAGTGAAAGTCGATACAGATTCAAGTCAGAACGATCAACTGCATTAGCCATAATGGAATCTATAGAAGAAATTACATCTGCTATCGATAATAAGAAGTTTGTTGCAGGAGTATTTCTAGATATAGAAAAGGCATTTGATACAATAAATCATGAAATCTTAATAAATAAACTGGAAAGATATGGGATTAGAGGGATTGTATTAAATTGGATAAAAA